AAAAAAAAAAAGCGGGCTTTGCAATAAAAATTTGGTTTTCGGGAAACTGATACATAATTGGAAGAAATCAAGGTCATTTCTGGATTCAATGGCAAAAATTTCGTAGAGGGTAATCTTCGGAAGTAGTCAAAAATGAGAACTCACCTTGTTGGATGCAGACTTAAAATCAACGGACTTATCTCTTTGGCTTGGAATAACATCTGAGCTACTAACATGAATAACAGTTTTTTCAACATCTGTGAAATAAAAAATTACAACCATTGTAACTACCGTAAACATCACCTCAAAGAAAAGCGGTTTGAACGAATAGAAAAATACTAGGGGTCTTTGCCCCCTGGCCGCTACGCGGTCCAACCCCCAGAAGGCGCTTTGCGCTCTCTTAGGCCCGCGTCCACAAAAGAACGATCAAAAATAATGAAAAGATTTTCATACCCGACTCTCATTTGTTCATTCACCCTCTGGCCGGGAGCGGTTGAACCAATAAGAATCGAATGAAAAAATCGGCATTAATTTCAAACTTCACGCCAAGACCGAAACGAAGCGAAACGGAGCGTTTCGTCGCTTTTGGATAGTCTATAGCAAACTAGCAGATCTTGGATTCACTTACTCTACTAACAGACCAAGATTCAACATTTCCCGCTAAATTTGAAATTCCCGCCATTTTTCATCGGCAGGAATTTCGAACTTTGCCTCGCTTCCTAAGCTCTCTGGTCCACTCGAATATAAAAAAAAACCTGGGTCCTATTTTCAAATTCTGATTACAGCGGGCTTATTCAGGGGCTATCACCTGTCGATAGCCGCAAAAATCATGAAAATCGGCCCGGTAGAACGCTGTGTTACCAGATATGCAAAAGGGATCTCGGAGCTTATAGTATAGATGCGGTCTCGATTAAACTAAGTAAGGTATGAAACTTCCTCACAAAAATGCCAAAATAATGATATTTAGTATTCTGTTGTTAACATTACTTTTTGTTTGGCCTGTAATTGTTTTATTAAAAATGACGTGTTTGGAGGGCATGGTGGAATTGGAGCATAATAATTGCATTTTTTGTGGAAATTGAATAAGGAGTATTTTCGGGTACTTGAGGGAAAGGTATTTTAGTATTCCGAAGCATTCTCCGGAAAATCTGCAATACCAGATATTATATTACTTCTTCTCGTGAGTTATTATTCTTTTAGTGGCATGCACTACGGTTTCAACGAGGAAATCAGTAGCTAGCTAAGTAGTTCTTACCTCCATTACAATTAGATTCATAAGGTTTTAGATGTCTCTCTTTATTGCTATCGTTGATGAATTGATCAGAAATCAACCTATGATCCGAATCTTGATGACTCAGTCGACTGAAACAAATCATTTTGAATTTAGGATTAAAAAAAAAAAAAAGAAAAACCGTAATGTAATAAAACAAAAACACCTCTCTCATTTTGAAACAAAAAGACTTGTCATCCGTAAGTGTTTAACACTGAAAACTCATGGTGTTTTAGGATAGTAACACTGAAAACTCATTCATTATTTCGTAAGGTAGCATAATTGTTTGGATGAAAATGAGGTTGGAAACATGAAGGTATCAAAATAAAATTAATATTTTAGTGATTTTTATACGGTTTTTTAAAGTACAGCAGAGAAACCCTTGTACTTTTCGCAAATCGCTCAGTATGTATTTTGAAACACCAAACATAACATTAATGAAAGTGAGAGAGGTTATAACATTTTTATAGGTAGAAACGATCAGCTTTTGATAGAAATGCAACGATGGATATTTCGACTCTCATTTATGTGAAAGACTATGGAGCCTGGTCTCTGTAGATATAGTATGGGTTGATGAGCAAAAATGCTTAAAAGAAAAGGTATAGGAAGATATACACCAAAAAAACTACGGCTCGTAAACCCACACTTGTGTAAGCCACTCATTGTAAGTTTTGAGCGCAATTTTAGACAGGGAACAACTGCTTTTTAAACTCAATAAACTGCCTAAATCATGACAATTTTCATCAATTTTGAAGAGTTATTGGAGATATTGAGAGATTCTACCCCCATACCATGACCATAAACGAATTTTTCGGGGCAAAAGGAATTTTCTCGGGGGGGGGGCGGCAGTGGCATGGCGTGATTTGCGATACATCGATTCATCTGCCATTTAAACAAATCAAAAAGGATAGAAAACGGGTGTTCGCAACGAATACCTTCTTTAATAGTCGATTCTCCACTATAGCTTCAAATGGAGAAATATCGTTAATAATCGATCATTCACGTCTTGCCACTGGGGCCAGGGACCTCACCTTGGAGAATTTTGAAACACTGGCCTCTCTTAGATGTATTTAAACGCTATACGTACGCAAAATTTTTCAGTCCCGGAAAACATCACTGACTTTTCCGTTTTTGCAATTGTACTATACGACGAAACGAGGATTCCGATTCTGACGCTATTTAGAAATAATGTTCCTGACGGCTATTTTGTCTGAAGCACAGTCAATTTTTACGCACTTACGGCTTTCTCGTGTGTCTTGTTTCTTGACAGAGAAGACACATTTTGCTGTTTCAACACAGCATCAATGATTTTATCTAAATAAGATTCTCCGAATTTTGAAGGAAACTCGATTTCGAGAATTTAAAAGATACGGCTATCTTCGCTATCACGGTAGGCGGTAGGGTTGGGTGGTTTGCTTAGCGGTGGAAAAATGATAACTGATCGGACGTCACAGGTGTGTGAAACATGCACGAATTGGAGCAGCATGCTTTGATAAATCTTTAGACAATACCTATCGGAATCAATAAAAGATTCTTCATTAACAATAGACAACCTTTTGTTGACCCAGGTCTCGGGGCTTTGGTCACCAGCCACGCTGCTCGCGGAGCTGTTGTAGCCCGAGGATTCCCCCGGAAACAATTCGGCGCCTGCTCCCTTCTTCACAAGAAGGACCAACCGCCCACTCCCGCGCAGGACGGAAACAGCCTGAAACAAAAACAGGACAAATATTCAGCCGCTATTACCAGATAATTTTGACTGGTTTCAATGAATTATTATTGTAGTCTGAGAGTCCGATGACATATTGTGACAAACTTGGGACACAAGTTTTGACCACTTAAATCAATGGCCTTACATGCACTAACACGGGAAAGGGTCGGTGGCCAAGTTGTAGCGCCCGCCAACACGTGGCAGACAACAATTATCCGCACTGGAAAAAAAAAGACATTGGATGTCCAGACTCTTGAAAACATTGACAGGAAAAAATACTCTTGATTCAATCAGATTTAAGCTTAAATCAAAAGAAAATCCGATCAAATTAAGGGGCTTGGTTCTTGATTTAAGCTTATATCAAAAGGAAATCCGCTCAAATTAAGGGGCTTGGTTCTTGATTTAAGCTTAAATCTGATTGAATCAAGAGTATTTTTTCTTGTCGATGTTTTTAAGAATCTGGACTCTCGATCCAATGTTTTTTTTTTTTTTTTTTTTTTTTTTTTCTAGTGCGTGTCAAGGCAAATTTAAGTGGTCAAAATTTGCGTCCCGTGTTTGTCACAAAAAGTCGATGGGCTTTCGGATTAGATGTCCCGAAATCAAAATTCGGATGCATCGGGGATCGATTCTCTAGTCTGGAATACAAATTTTTGGCTCGGAGCAATATTTTTTTCTTATGAGAGCGGGAGCAAATTGCTTTGCAATTGTTCCGCGCGATCGAGTGCAAATTGTGGAAATGCCCTAAAAATTAATTGTGGAGCCGAATTTGTTGTTCGTTTGTTCGCTATTTTTTGTTTCTTGTGACCGGGCATTTCAGTCCCCACAATCAATGGACAATAGAACCGTCAACATCTTAGCTAGAAGTTGATTTCAGTAGTTTTTGTTGCGCGAATCGTGTTCTGTGCGGAATTCTTTTGAAAAATCATGTATCAGAGTGCTTAAATTCGTAACTTGTTTAATGGTCCATTCAATCTAAAAAAGCGGACAAAGAAAACTTTCCTAACTTTTCTCATAAAAAATATTTTATCGGGAGAAACGAGGCAACATTGGACGGCTCATACGGCGTCCAAACACAACATGAACCTTTTAAGCCCCATGGTTCGATGCCGCGATTATCCTAACGCGAGTTCAAATAATCGCGCCAAACACGGTGCGGATGGTATTAAACTCATATTGGCGCCTTCAAGAGTGTATGAATACTTCACGCATTGCGCCAAACAGTGCGGTCGGCGTCAAACGCATATTAGCGCCTACAAGACTGCATGAATACTTCTCGCATTGCACTAGACGCAATCCTAGAGTTATTTGGGATGACTAATCGACTACGGGCAAAGGCACATTGCCGCTAACTGGATTGAAAGCGCATCCCACTGTGAAGATAATTCGACACTCGACTGAGCTCCCTTTCCTGGCTTGCGCGACGCTAAAATCGCTGCAAAATTAGGACCACGCGTCATTTCTTTAGACGGTCCCTGCCCGGTTTTTACCTAAATTGAAGTGTAAATAGGTATTTTAACTGCACCGATTCAGCAACTCGGACGAGGCTTAAACGATGAAGCGATTATGAAACTTGATTCGCGTAAAGTTAATTTTGGTTTAATAAAGGGAAATTGAACGAACGAAAATATCGCGTCGAAATTGTTTGTGATTTTATTTCAAATCATTCCGGAAATTTTCCGGAAACTTCTAAAAAAATGTGCGTAGCTTATTTTAAAATAAAATTGATTAAAAATAAAACATGAGTAGAGATTTACAACGTTGCAATTGGAGATAAGAACGCTTTTTTCCGCGTGCAGCATCAATATTTGGTTTCATTCCCGGCAGGCGTAACGAGATAACTATTCGACCATGGGTGCAGACATAAAGCCGCTAGCCGGATCCTTGCAATAAAATAATAAAAATAAGGAAATCAGTGCGTAATTACCTCATTAAAAGTGACATTATTCGTAAAATCAACATTGTTACATTGTAATATTTGATCTCCTGGCCTCAGACCGGCATCTCGCGCTAGTCCGTTTTCTTTCGTGAATTGCACGAAAATACCTGGTTTCCAATCCGGACCCTTGCATATCCTGCAAAATAAAGATTAAATTTGAGGTTAAACCTTAATATTTATCAAGTATTAGAAACAAAATGCTGACACATGTTGTCACGTATTGAAGTGTTCTTGAGTGCGACTAATGTACCAAATACGCATGAAGTATGAAGCGCCTTCAAATGAGATACATGCAACTGTTCGTGCTCGCTTCCGTGCAGTTTCCGCCGCGACCGAACGGCGACGTTAAGTAGTGAAATTACATTCTTTAGTCTCCAGCGGGCCGATTATTGAAATTGATAGACAAAGCTATAGACAAAGAAGACATAGGGGGTACAAAGCAATCCTATTGGTTGAAATGGGTGGTTCTCATAGACTAAGGGGGAAAATGATAGTCGTGGGTTGCCGTTAGTTAGTCTATTACCTACCTCCTTTGTCCATTGCAACCACCCGCTTCTATCAATAGGATCTCTCCATATATCTTTTGTCTTCTTTGTCTATAACTTTGTCTATCAATTTCAATAATCGGCCCGCTGGTGTATTTCTTCGTGGACTGTATCCCTGTCAATCGGGTTCTGAAAGTGTACCGAACCCACAGGTAATATTCAGCTTTGGTGGATTTGCGGTGAATCTACATCTAACGGACGCTACCAAGCATCGGAATGTTAGAATCATGATGTTGAAATATCGATATTATTTTGAATTTGACTCAAAAAGCGCAATTTTTTTACCTTGAAACACACTTGACTGTTTCCAAAAAATACTGATGGAAACTTTAAACTAGAGCTGAAATTAACCGCAAACCTGAGCATTTTTTACCAATCGAATGTAATATTTTCTTTAAATTGCACTCAGCAAAGTAGAAGAGAGTTTTAAAGAGTTTTTTTGGAACTAACTGACTGAGATGTGCTTTTGGACGTGGTTTCGTTTTGTTAACATCTTCAAATGAAACAATTCTCGCACTAAAATGATTTCCATCACAAAATGTTTGTTCTCTCTCGGAGAGGCAACACCTCCAATCAGTTGTCTATCCTTAGGACGACAAAGGTTTGCCACCTGAACTGGCTTGAAAAGGACTATTAAGTCCTTTTTAGTATAAAAAACATCGATTTATCGATTGTATCGACAACTCTCCAAATCATGGACTTGGAAATTTTTGGCCGCCACCAAATAAGGAGTTGGAACTTTTTTCTCATTAGCTTTAGTTTTGGACTTCTCCTTTTTTCAATATGTTTGTAACGTGTTTCGCCCTATGCAACTTTCTTACTCATGCGTTAAAGTCCCTCAGTCGGCCGAGAAAATCTCACGTTCTCCTTCATTTTAAGGATGCGCGATTTTATCTCCTTGGAGGTCAAAATAGTTGTATCACATTTTTCGCCCCATCCAACTTTTCTACTCATGCGTTAAAGTCTCTAAATCAACCAAGAACACTTCGCGTTCTCCTCCGTTTAGAAGAAATGCGAGAAAGTATTGTTTCACTTAAATATGACCGGACCTGTGACCTCATAATCCCGACGAAAATTGTCGAAACTTCGAACTTAGCACGAAGAACGACTGCGAGAAGCGCCTGCGAAACTGTAGGAATACTTCAAGCATCACGCCGGCTCCCCAAACCCGATCTCTAGTCTCGCTCTTGGCTCTAAATTCGCAAGTCGCGCTAAGTTCCGAGAACCACGTTCTTTGGTCGTACTTCTGTAAAACGGAACTATGTGCAAGATGACGTAAGCCCTGCTATACATGTATTCTTATGGGTCTCAGGGTTCATGTCTTAGCACATAGTTCCGCTTGACAGAAACACGTCCATTTGGAAATGTGTAAGGCAACACGCATACACAATTTCGGAAGGTATACGTAAAAATGAAGCGCATTTTGATCGAATGTGATATATTTCTATATCATTTGTTATATGAGAGGTCGTATCCTAAGCAATGTTCAGCCTTCGTAGTTCGCCGATGACCAATGGTTAGTTAGCTCGTGAACATTCTGCAATCTATATCCCTGAATTGCTCTCCTTCCTACTCCCTTTCTCTCGTTTGTTTATTTCCTTCCTTATCTTCTCTTCAATTGTTCCATTCTTTTTACCACTCCCTCTCCTATTGTCTCTCCCTCTCAATGCCCGCTTCGTTCTTCCTTTTTCTCCCATATTCGATGGCAAAAATGTCAAACCACGTATCTCCGTTTGAATTTGAATTTCTTGAAAATTACCTTGAACTTCCTTCTTTGTTCGAAGAAAATTCTGTCAAAATTTCAAGCTACGATGGTGGCTTCCAACTTTTCGAAAAACAAAATAAGAGAGGAAATTTTAAAACACTTGAATGGAAATACGTGGTTTTGTACTTTGGTCGTCATATTTGCTCTCATTTTTCCTTTCTCTCCCTATCCCTACCTTTTTTTCTTTGATATTAACTCAAAAGGGGGGGGGGGAGAACCCAGCAAAACAACGCAGGAAATGTGTCATTAAATAATAATTTGTCTAGTTTCACTAAACTCTTTAGTTCAAAATTTATTTTGTGCAGTTTCGTTGTTAGGCAAAACGTTTCTACGGATCTGGGTGTTCCCTTGGAAATTTTAAAACCCCCTAGTGCAACAAAAAAAAAGAAAAAAAACTCACCCGCAACCAAGTGTCCCTTTTGGTGGGACATCCATGGTGACAACGACGTTTCCATGGGACCTCGGATAGTTGTGGCTGCCGACATGGTTGAAGGCTTCACTATGGTTTTGAAGGTACATCCCAGGGCTCGGTTCCACCAATCGCCACGTCAGGGATTCCGAGTAGCTACTGTTCCAACAAATAAACACTCTATTAGATTCCACCTAGGGGAACATTAAGAAAACTAAACACAGCCAACTCCCGATGATGTTCCGATAAACCGAATCATTGGCGGATCCAGCAAATTGGCAACGTTGTTTTTCTCCATTTAAACCTATAGAAATGTATCGATTCTTGGAGGGACCAGTTGCTCCGACAAGAATCGATTATTCAACGTAAGTTTGAATGGAGGGAATTCGGTGTTGCTGAATTGCTGGACCCGTAACAATAGATTGACCATCTGAAACACTTCCCGGACTTCCGAGGATTGAATTCATAATTCCGAAAAAAAGTAACAAATTTCACATTTCGTGAATTTATTCGAGCCTTTTGAAATATTACCTTCCATCTCGGGATACGGAAGATAACTTTAATGCGTTTGATGTTTCAGAAATCTGCATGCGTATGCACAAGTACCAGCACACACACAAGCATACAAGTACACACACAATCGTCCAATCCTGTCGTCTTCGTTGGCTCGTCGCACAGTAGATCGAGTCAATTAGAGAGGTCGGACATGACATTTTTGACAAAAACTGCGAATTTTGATGTTTCTTTCGTCACATTTTAAAGTTGAAGGGGTGCTCCTGGAAGGAAATATCACAAGGAAACCAATGAAACCACTTTAAGAACCTCAAAGTTTTGTTTAAATTGAGTTGTAAGCGTTTAAAGTTTCCAAATTTTGTCCGACCTCTCCTATTGACTCGATCCACTGTGCGTCCGTGCCGATCCCTGGGGCTAGCTGCAACTCGTGCGAGAAACGAAACTGCAAAGCGGACTGCCGTCCAAGACTAGAAACGCATACCTACATACATTTTCCATTACAAGTTGCGGGGATCCTACCCAACAGGACCACAGACTGGCTCGAACTGCGACACAGATTTCCTTTTCTAGAGAGGAACTTCACCGGCACCAATACACACAAGCACCTGTTCGTCTGTACAGCGAGCAACACACACCACACCGCTCCATTCATTCCGACGTTCATCACTGCTGCCAAATTAACGCGGTTTCGTCCAATGGACCAGGCAAGGTTTACGAAGTTAAGCGTTCTGGTGCATAGTTCTTAACCAAAACTTCATTTAAAACATGATTCGCGCGACGAAAATTACTGAAATCAACTCCTAACGAAGATATTTAATGTTTCTTCACGCGTGAATTCAAACCTCCCGCTTATGAAAACGCAACGGTCTACGTCTGAGTCCCTGTATAGGGAGAGTTGAAACAACGTGGCTCATGGATGCTACAAACGGGAATATGTACGGATCACACAAAATGAACGTTTTTTTTTTGTATGCCATCCTGAATCAACTCCTTCCCAAATTCCTGTCTCCGTTCCTTCTATCATATCGTTAGTTCCTTACCGTCTTGCCGTGCACCCAATTCCCTGGTCCATTCCAGTTCACGATCTTTGCAATTGTTGAAAATCTATAATCTTTATTCCCGTTTGTGATACTGTGGATGCCTGAACTACGGGAACCAATTAGAAATGGATTCGAATTGTCTTTACTCTCGGTATAAAGGGACTCCAGTCTGCGTGCGAATCACACCGCACAATAAACGTTGCCGTGGCAGTGTCTGCGATACGAAAGTATGGTAATCTCAATCTTGACGCTTTGGCTCAACTACAGCAAATTTCTTACATTTTGAACGATAGAGGGTGGAGAAGGAACAATGCTCGACTGAGAAGCCTGCCAAAACCGCTGTAAAGCACGATTTGACTCACGGAGAGTATTGCGTTTCTTGTGAGCGGGAAATTCAAATTTCCCGTGACCAATGTAAAATAAAAACGTAAATTAATTTCTTAGTTAGGAGTTAATTTCAGTATTTTTCAAAGCAAGAATCGTGTGTTAGGTGAACTTTTGGTTTAGACGAATGTGTCAGAGTGCTTAAATTTGTACCTTGTTCAGTGGTCCGTTGCGTGAAATAAAATTGAAAACTTTATTGGATGAGATGGTGAAAATTACGCAAGTTTTCCAAAGTTCGTCGAGATGAATCGTTTCGAATTGGGAACGTCCACGGAGGAAGGGGGATTGAAAGGAAGTGAATGAAAATGAAAAGAAGCGTGAAGACTGAACAAAGCGATAATTTCCGTGGCGAATCGGCAATGGCAGCTCTGGTGCAGGGTTATCTTTCATCGTTTATTACTCGACTATTAGTTTACCTTCTCGGATCGTATTCAGGTTAGACATGCTGCATGCGAATTATCAACAGGGGGAACGGGCTTCAAGAGGCACACTCTCCACTCCGCCGTCCGCAGGAAGAACGCCATATGAGCCAAAAGACGATGCCATATTTCCTTCGATAAAAACCCAATTTACTGGGAAAATTGTTAATATTTCCCGTCGAAATTTTCGCATGATTTGTTCACGATTTAATCTGATACACTCATCCAGAAATTTCAAAGTAAAATGTGCATAACTAACTCGAAAATTTGTGTTTTATCCGGGGAGATTTGGCAACTCTCGAATGTTCATACGGCGTTCTTCCTTGGCACGGCAGCGCTGCAAGCGTGCCTGCATCACCGCGGATTCTCATGCAGGTCGCGTGGGGTTTTTAGTTTTCAGAACATGCTGCGGTGAGATTTCTTGTGTGCCTCATTCTCAGCAGTTTTTGAATGTGTTCAGGTGCCCAAGATCTGAGTTACACAAGTCAAACAAAGATCCAGATTCGTCGATAAAACGCTCTGATGTTCACTCTGATTTGGACTGCATTTTGCAATTTGGACCTATAAATTCTGGCTCATCTGAAAAAACACTTATATGCACAGGGAAACTTATGGCACATTCGTTTTTTTTAAACTGGGCCGGAATTTATAGTTCCTAATTGCAAATTGTAGTCCATTTGATCTTGGTGGCACAATGCCTGATCGTCCTTTGAGAAATCCGGNTCCCCTCAACTCATTTTTCTATGGATTATATCATTTTTTTTTATGTCATGCCTTGCTCCCCTACCACCATTTTTTCGGGGTTATAGATATTTTAGCGGCCTCTAGACCTGTGACTCCAGTCACGGGCATTTCGCTAGTTTTAAAATAAAATTGATTAAAAATAAAACATGAATAGAGATTTACAACGTTGGAATTGGAGATAAGAACGCTTTTTTCCGCGTGCAGCATCAATATTTGGTTTCATTCCCGGCAGGCGTAACGAGATAACTATTCGACCATGGGTGTAGACATAAAGCCGCTAGCCGGATCCTTGCAATGAAATAATAAAAATAAGGAAATCAGTGTGTAATTACCTCATTAAAAGTGACATTATTCGTAAAATCAACATTGTTACATTGTAATATTTGATCTCCTGGCCTCAGACCGGCATCTCGCGCAAGTCCGTTTTCTTTCGTGAATTGCACGAAAATACCTGGTTTCCAATCCGGACCCTTGCATATCCTGCAAAATAAAGATTAAATTTGAGGTTAAACCTTAATATTTATCAAGTGTTAGAAACAAAATGCTGACACATGTTGTCACATATTGAATTGTTCTTGAGTACGACTAGTGTACCAAATACGCATGAAGTATGAAGCGCCTTCAAATAAGATACATACAATTGTTCGTGCTCGCTTCCGTGCAGTTTCCGCCGCGATCGAACGGCGACGTGAAAGAGCGACGCCAAAAACGACCGTTTTTTGGCACAATTTGGGCCAGAAGGGATTTTTCTGAAACCGGGCCCAAACGATACCTTATGATACCCTAAAACTCTGGTAAAAATTTTAGCTTGAGTATACGCCCGGTTTTTGAGAAATGAGGGGGCAAAGTTGCCAAATCGCCATCATTCTAGACAGCATTTCTACAGCAAAAAGACGGGGAAAATGGACGTAAATCGTAAAAGTCAAATCTTTGATGGGCTTCGGCTGTACATGTTCTCATTGGGCCCCCAAGCATTTAACTGTGTTCAGTTTCAAAAATGTTGGTCGCACAGTTGTCGAAAAAGGGGAGAAATCGTCGACAAATCAGGATTCTTTGTCAAATTTTTAGAACTGGAAGTAAAATTGTCGGCCTGCTGCAGTTTTCATGGCTAACAATGTTCTTATTGGTCCTCAATGCATGAAAATGTGTTCAGCTTCACAAATGTACATCGCACGGTGGTCAGAAATGGGGGAATTAGTGGACAAATTAAGATCCTCTGTCAAACTGTTGGTCCCCAGTAGAGTTTAAATCCCGGAAAAATTCATGTTTTTATTTTTTTTAATTATTTATATATGTCAGACCGTATTGTTTATAGAACGTTGTTATAGAATAGACTTTGTAGCATATATTATTTCAATAAAAAATGTAAACTTTCAGAAATTTAAAAAAAGTTTAAATAGTCAAGAAAAGAATTTAAAGAATTTTTCTGGTATCTAAAGTCTACTGAGAACCAATAGTCGTACATCATTTTTAGAAAGTTAGGCAGAAGATCTTAATTTGTCCACTAATTTCCCATTTTGGACCATTGTGCGATGAAAATTTGATAAATTGAACCCAATTGAATGCATTGAAGACCGATAAGAACATTGTTCCCCATGATCTCTGCAGGAGACCAACAATTTTACTTCCATTTTTACAAAGTTTGACAAAGAATCCTTATCTGTCCACGATTTCTCCCCATTTTAGACTACTGTACGTCCAAAATTTTTGAAACTGAAGACAAACACATGCACGGGGGCTCAATAAGAACATTTACAGCCCAAACCCATCAATGGTGTAACTTTTTCGTCCATTTTTCCCGTCTTTTTGCTGTAAAAATGCTGTCCAGAATGATGGCGATTTGGCAACTTTGCCCCCCCATTTCTCAAAAACGGTGCGTATACTCAAGCTAAAATTTTTACAAGAGTTTTAGGGTATCATAAGGTATCGTTTGGGCCCGGTTTCAGAAAAATCCCTTCTGGCCCAAATTGTGCCATTCTTGGCGTCGCTCTTTACATTCTTTAGTCTTCTAGTGTATTTCTTCGTGGACTGTATCCCTGTCAATCGGGTTCTGAAAGTGTACCGAACCCACAGGTAATATTCAGCTTTGGTGGATTTGCGGTGAATCTACATCTAACAGACGCTACCAAGCATCGGAATGTTAGAATCATGATGTTGAAATATCGATATTATTTTGAATTTGTGTCAAAAAGCGCAATTTTTTTACCTTGAAACGCACTTGACTGTTTCCAAAAAATACTGATGGAAACTTTAAACTAGAGCTGAAATTAACCGCAAACCTGAACATTTTTTACCAATCGAATGTAATATTTTCATTAAATTGCACTCAGCAAAGTAGAAGAGAGTTTTAAAGAGTTTTTTTGGAACTAACTGACTGAGATGTGCTTTTGGACGTGGTTTCGTTTTGTTAACATCTTCAAATGAAACAATTCTCGCACTAAAATGATTTCCATCACAAAATGTTTGTTCTCTCTCGGAGAGGCAACACCTCCAATCAGTTGTCTATCCTTAGGACGACAAAGGTTTGCCTCCTGAACTGGCTTGAAAAGGACTATTGTGTCCTTTTTAGTATAAAAAACATCGATTTATCGATTGTATCGACAACTCTCCAAATCATGGACTTGGAAATTTTCGGCCGCCACCAAATAAGGAGTTGGAACTTTTTTCTCATTAGCTTTAGTTTTGGACTTCTCCTTTTTTCAATATATTTGTAACGTGTTTCGCCCCATGCAACTTTCTTACTCATGCGTTAAAGTCCCTGAGTCGGCCGAGAAAATCTCACGTTCTCCTTCATTTTAAGGATACGCGATTTTATCTCCTTGGAAGTCAAAATAGTTGTATCACATTTTTCGCCCCATCCAACTTTTCTACTCATGCGTTAAAGTCTCTAAATGAACCAAGAACACTTCGCGTTCTCCTTCGTTTAGAAGAAATGCGAGAAAGTATTGTTGCACTTAAATATGACCGGACCTATGACCTCATAATCCCGAAGAAAATTGTCGAAACTTTGAACTTAGCACGAAGAACGACTGCGAGAAGCGCCTGCGAAACTGTAGGAATACTTCAAGCATCACGCCGGCTCCCCAAACCCGATCTTTAGTCTCGCTCTTGGCTCTGAATTCGCAAGTCGCGCTAAGTTCCGAGAACCACGTTCTTTGGACGTACTTCTGTAAAACGGAACTATGTGCAAGATGACGTAAGCCCTGTTATACATGTATTCTTATGGGTCTCAGGGTTCATGTCTTAGCACATAGTTCCGCTTGACAGAAACACGTCCATTTGGAAATGCGTAAGGCAACACGCATACACAATTTCGGAAGGTATACGTAAAAATGAAGCGCATTTTGATCAAATGTTATATATTTCTATATCATTTGTTACATTAGAGGTCGTATCCTAAGCAATGTTCAGCCTTCGTAGTTCGCCAATGACCAATGGTTAGTTAGCTCGTGAACATTCTGCAATCTATACCCCTGAATTGCTCTCCTTCCTACTCCCTTTCTCTCGTTTGTTTATTTCCTTCCTTATCTTCTCTTCAATTGTTCCATTCTTTTTACCACTCCCTCTCCTATTGTCTCTCCCTTTCAATGCCCGCTTCGTTCTTCCTTTTTCTCCCATGTTCGATGGCAAAAATGTCAAACCACGTATCTCCGTTTGAATTTTGAATTTGAATTTCTTGAAAATTACCTTGAACTTCCTTCTTTGTTCAAAGAAAATTCTGTCCAAATTTCACGCTACAATGGTGGCTTCTAACTTTTCGAAAAACAAAATAAGAGAGGAAATTTTAAAACACTTGAATGGAAATACGTGGTTTTGTACTTTGGTCGTCATATTTGCTCTCATTTTTCCTTCTCTCCCTATCCCTACCTTTTTTTCTTTGATATTAACTCAAAGGGGGGGGGGGAGAACCCAGCAAAACAACGCAGGAAATGTGTCATTAAATAATAATTTGTCTAGTTTCACTAAAACTCTTTAGTTCAAAATTTATTTTGTGCCGTTTCGTTCTTAGGCAAAACGTTTTTTACGGATCTGGGTGTTCCCTTGGAAATTTTAAAATCCCCTAGTGCAACAAAAAAAAAGAAAAAAAAACTCACCCGCAACCAAGTGTCCCTTTTGGTGGGACATCCATGGTGACAACGACGTTTCCATGGGACCTCGGATAGTTGTGGCTGCCGACATGGTTGAAGGCTTCACTATGGTTTTGAAGGTACATCCCAGGGCTCGGTTCCACCAATCGCCACGTCAGGGATTCCGAGTAGCTACTGTTCCAACAAAAAAACACTCCATTAGATTTCACTTAGGGGAACATTAACAAAACTAAACACAGCCAACTCCCGATGATGTTCCGATAAACCGAATCATTGGCGGATCCAGCAAATTGGCAACGTTGTTTTTCTCCGTTTAAACCTATGGAAATGTATCGATTCTTGGAGGGGCCAGGTACTCCGACACGAATCGATTATTTAACGTAGATTTGAATGGAGGGAATTCGGTGTTGCTAAATTGCTGGACCCGCCTCTGAACCGAATAAAAGCAAGAAATTGATCGTTTTTCACCACTCTTGCTCTATAATTGAACCTATTTATGCTAAATGGAACTATGTGATTAGGGATTGCGTGTAAAATGGTTCATTTTAGCATAGATACACTGCGGAAAACAACACATTGGATCTAGAGTCCAGACTCCTGAAAACATTGATAAGAAAAAATACTCTTGATTCAATTGGAATCAAGCTTAAATCAAAAGGAAATCCGCTCAAATTAAGAGGCTTGGTTCTTGATTTAAGCTTAAATCTGATTGAATCAAGAGTACTTTTTCTTGTCGATGTTTTTAAGAGTCTGGACTCAAGATCCAATGTGTTTTTTTTCCAGTGTATACGTCAAATTGAAGCGCTGGGTGCAGAAAGGGCATTTCTTGATTGCGGTGTTTCAGAATCTCCGTTAAGGTTTCATCCGTCATAAATGGACCGCGTTCCGCAGAGAGGAACCAAGCCACATCAACTTAACTAAGCACTTTAATTTTTTACAAGGGAACGTTTGTACGGATTCCTTTGAAAATATTAAGGAATTTGCTTCGTATTATGCAGGGAATTCCCTACAATTTCCACAAAAATCTGCACGACCGTTTATACCCCTTCTAAATATTCAGTCAGTGCACCTAACGGTAGTGTGTAGGCCAACATTACTGGATACGGCCATAGATGATTGATTTTGCCTGGGAATGCATTAAGGAGGCCAAGGAAAGCCTAGAAACAGTAATTAGCGATTTTGACATTTCTCACCCCAAACCTAAGATATTCACGCGTTGGGGCTTCCTTCCTCTCTAAACTCCCCTTTGTGCCCCCTTCCGCATACAGTACCGGATTAGGGTAGCATATACTGCCCAGTGGCGTGGCGTGCTTCGCGATATATCGATTGTTCTGCCATTCAAACCTATGGTAAAGAATCGATTATTATGGTGTTCGCTGCACCCTGATTATCGATCCTTTTCTATAGGTTTAAATGGCATAACAATCTATGTACCGCAAAGCACGCCACGCCACTGATACTGCCGTAACAATAGATTGACCATCTGAAACACTTTCCGGACTTCCGAGGATTGAATTCATAATTCCGAAAAAAAGTAACAAATTTCACACTTCGTGAATTTATTCGAGCCTTTTGAAATATCACCTTCCATCTCGGGATACGGAAGATAACTTTAATGCGTTTGATGTTTCAGAAATCTGCGTGCGTATGCACAAGTACCAGCACACACACAAGCATACAAGTACACACACAATCGTCCCATCCTGTCGTCTTCGTTGGCTCGTCGCACAGTAGATCGAGTCAATTAGAGAGGTCGGACATGAAATTTTTGACAAAAACTGCGAATTTTGATGTTTCTTTCGTCACGTTTTAAAGTTGAAGGGGTGCTCCTGGAAGAAAATATCAAAAGGAAACCAATGAAACCACTTTAAGAACCTCAAAGTTTTGTTTAAATTGAGTTGTAAGCGTTTAAAGTTTCCAAATTTTGTCCGACCTCTTCTATTGATTCGATCCACCGTGCGTCGGGCCGATCCCTGGGGCTAGCTGCAACTCGTGCGAGAAACGAAACTGCAAAGCGGACTGCCGTCCGAGACTAGAAACGCATACCTACATACATTTTCCATTACAAGTTGCGGGGATCCTACCCAACAGGACCACAGACTGGCTCGAACTGCGACACAGATTTCCTTTTCTAGAGAGGAACTTCACCGGCACCAATACACACAACCACCTGTTCGTCTGTACAGCGAGCAACACACACCACACCGCTCCATTCATTCCGACGTTCATCACTGCTGCCAAATTAATGCGGTTTCGTCCAATGGACCAGGCAAGGTTTACGAAGTTTAGCGTTCTGGTGCATAATTCTTAACCAAAACTTCATTTAAAACATGCTTCGCGCGACGAAAATTGCTGAAATCAACTCCTAACGAAGATATTTAATGTTTCTTCACGCGTGAATTCAAACCTCCCGCTTATGAAAACGCAACGGTCTACGTCTGAGTCCCTGTATAGGGAGAGTTGAAACAACGAGGCTCATGGATGCTACAAACGGGAATATGTACGGATCACACAAAATGAACGTTTTTTTTTTGTATGCCATCCTGAATCAACTCCTTCCCAAATTCCTGTCTCCGTTCCTTCTATCATTCCGTTAGTTCCTTACCGTCTTGCCGTGCACCTAATTCCCTAGTCCATTCCAGTTCACGATCTTTGCAATTGTTGAAAATCTATAATCTTTATTCCCGTTTGTGATACTGTGGATGCCTGTAGAGTCCCTTTATACCGAGAGTCAAGACAATTTGATTCCATTTCTGATTGGTTCCCGTATTTTAGGCCTCCACAGTGTCACAAACGGGAATAAAGATTACATTTTCACCAATTGCAAAGATTATAATCTGGAATGGACCGGGGAATTACGGGTTCGGCAAGGAACAAACGGAATGAGAGGAGGAACCAGGAGGAACGGAGAAAGGCATTTGAGAATGGGCCGATCAAAGATTACGAAAAACGTTCAATTTGTGTAATCTTTATTCCCGTTTGTGACATCCATGAGCCGAATTGTCTTGACTCTCAGTCCCTAACTACGGGAACCAATTAGAAATGGATTCGAATTGTCTTTACTCTCAGTATAAAGGGACTCCAGTCTGCGTGCGAAACACACCGCACAATAAACGTTGCAGTGGCAGTGTCTGCGATACGAAAGTATGGTAATCTCAATCTTGACGCTTTGGCTCAGCTACAGCAAATTTCTTACGTTTTGAACGATAGAGGGTGGGGAAGGAACAATGCTCGATTGAGAAGCCTGCCAAAACCGCTGTAAAGCACGATTTGACTCGCGTAGAGTATTGCGTTTCTTGTGAGCGGGCAATTCAAATCTCCCGTGACCAATGTAAAATAAAAACGTTAATTAATTTCTTAGTTAGGAGTTAATTTCAGTATTTTTCAAAGCAAGAATCGTGTGTTAGGTGAACTTTTGGTTTAGACGAATGTATCGGAGTGCTTAAATTTGTACCTTGTTTAGTGGTCCGTTGCGTGAAATAAAATTGAAAACTTTATTGGATAAGATGGTGAAAATTACGCAAGTTTTCCAAAGTTCGTCGAGATGAATCGTTTCGAATTGGGAAAGTCCGCGGAGGAAGGGGGATTGAAAGGAAGTGAATGAAAATGAAAAGAAGCGTGAAGACTGAACAAAGCGATAATTTCCGTGGCGAATCGGCAATGGCAGCTCTGGTGCAGGGTTATCTTTCATCGTTTATTACTCGACTATTAGTTTACCTTCTCGGATCGTATTCAGGTTAGACATGCTGCATGCGAATTATCAACAGGGGAAACGGGCTTCAAGAGGCACACTCTCCACTCCGCCGTCCGCAAGAAGAACGCCATATGAGCCAAAAGACGATGCCATATTTCCTTCAATAAAAACCCGATTCCCTGGGAAAATTGTTAATATTTCCCGTCAAAATTTTCGCATGATTTTTTCACGATTTAATCTGATACACTCATCCAGAAATTTCAAAGTAAAATGTGCATAACTGACTCAAAAATTTGTGTTTTATCCGGGGAGATTTGGCAACTCTCGAATGTTCATACGGCGTTCTTCCTTGGCACGGCAGCGCTGCAAGCGTGCCTGCATCACCGCGGATTCTCATGCAGGTCGCGTGGGGTTTTTAGTTTTCAGAACATGCTGCGGTGAGATTTCTTGTGCGCCTCATTCTCAGCAGTTTTTGAATGTGTTCAGGTGCCCAAGATCTGAGTTACACAAGTCAAACAAAGATCCAGATTCGTCGATAAAACGCTCTGATGTTCACTCTGATTTGATCTTGGTGGCACAATGCCTGATCCTATCGTCCTTTGAGAAATCCGGTAATGTCGACGGTGCATCAGACAAAAACCCATACCTTTATTACGAAGATGCGAATTTACGTGGTTTAATCATTATTTTTAAAATGAGGTGTAACTTTTCTGCCCTACAGAAAAATATAGAAAATGAATCGAACATCTCTTCAAATGAATCACGATACTCCCTCTTTTTAAAGCACTTAATGCGCTTGGTATTGTTCAACTGAAACTCGAAGCGCAGTGTAAAAATTCTGAGAACTTCACCAATTTGTAAACGATAAGAAGTGTACTTACTCTTTGACTGGTATCATCCCAACAGCTGGAACAAAAAAGAAAACAATAGCCATTAGAATCAATTTGATAAATGAGAATGCAAAGGAGTACTGGAAGATTGAAAAAAGCACGATCTTCCATTTAAAACAAGAGAATACATGAAAAATTACTCAAATACACATCATTTTCAACTATCCCATTTTCAGGTTGACCAAATTGTGTCTAATTAGAAATCTTCGAAAATGAATAACTCAGTCACCATCAATCACTTTTAATCTTTAACGGACCAATATATATTTGTGACCATCTCGGATAGTAGTATGTTTTGACTTTCTTATTACAAAAAATGAGTGCTTTCTGAGAGAGAGAGAGAAACAGCATGGTGCGATCCATATTGAACCAAACCAATTGGTTCCAATACACCAGTGACCATCTCGCAGTCTAGTGTGTAGGATGTTTCGACTTTTTATATTACAAAAAGGAGTGCATTCTGCAAGAGAAAAACACCATGGTGACATGTTTCACATTGGACCAGTCCAATTGGTTCATTGTGACTCTATCATACTGTAGAGTAAAGATAAGCAGACATTAGGTATCATTTACCATGATTTTGACGAATGCTATTAAAGTTATGGTATTTGCTACCATGGCGTATGTTAATTATTGGTGTGCTCATATCACCGTAACTCGAACCGTACTTTTTTTTTTCAGTGAGTGCTTTCGTTTCGAAACTTTCAAAATAGCGGGTGTGTTGACCAGTCCGTGTATTTGCTTCAAAATAAAGCGGCTGTTCATAGAAAGAACTGAGAATCTTGACTAGCATAAAGTTTAAACAAGGAAAGCAAATCACAATGGAGACCTCTTCAGAGGTCGGCATATTCGTCGCTTTTCTGACTCAGGGGCGTAGCTCGATCTCCTCGTGAGCCCCAGAAAGCATGGATTTATACGTAAAATATGGCTCACGGGAAAATTGAGGTATACGTCCTCACGTCAGAGAAGCGACGTATTGTCCTCTTCATTTACAACCCATTGTTCCCCACTAAGATAAGGTATCACTATTCTTCTTAGCACGCTTCGTCTGTTCGGTTTGTTGTCCGAGTTGTCAAAAATTCAAATTCTTAGATGCCTTCGTGCAGATGAATTATTTAAAATTTGTAAAAATGAGCAATACATACGCGTGGAACATCTGCGAATGAAAATTTTTCTTGACTCTACACATCAAAGCGTGATTTTAAAGTCACAACTCCGGCCGACGGTAGACATGGGAATTGTGAAAATTGGAGGGAGCAGGCATGCGGAATATTCAGGGTTGCCACAGAATTTAGGATATGGAATTCCCTGAAATTTCCTTGATTTTCGCGACACATTTTGGTTAAATTCCCTGACAATTGAAGATGTGACGGATGGTTAAGAAGGCTTAATTGAAAATGGTTTGCAGGCAAACTTTGTTGTTCGAAACCTCAAACCCATTCTAGAAAGCAAATGAAGGTGATTTAACGAATTTTCCCTGATATTTTCGTTACTTTCCCTGACCTTTCCCGCTTTCTCCTGACATTTTTGTCATTTTCCCTGACATTTCCATGTTTTACCTGACAATATTAAATTCCCTGACATTTCCCGGTTTTCCCTGGCCTCGGCAACTTTGATATTACAATATGAAATATTGATTATTGAGAAAACCGAAATGTAGAGAAATCTCCGTCTCTAAAGCACACCTTGTTGATAATGAAAGAGATGTATGTCGACTATAGATAATTACTTTAATTTTATAAATGAATCCATTTTTATCGCCCACAGAAAAAGAGTCTAAGCGGACAGCGCCGATATTTTTCTAGAAGGACGAAGAGAGGAACTTTGGTCAAGCGAAGTTTAAAAAAAGTTTCCACAAAATTGGTTTCAACGAAAAAGAGAGAAAAGAACGCTATGAAAACATAACTTGGCGAGCTGCAACGGTTCATATCATTTTTGAGGGAATACGGGGTGTAAAGTTACATTGTAATCCGACAATCCCTCGTATCCCGTCACGAAAGAACATAGCTACATTTCAAAGTTGCCAGATTTTTCCGCCCAAATTGCATTTTGATAGGGAGAATTATGGGAATTTCTACTTGAAAATTTTACTCATTTTTTCTTGATGTCTTACCATAATTAGAAAAAACTTTCACGGCAAAAATTTCGCAGGAATTTTCTCGCAAATAATTAGCATTGTTCGAGTCCATTTTGCAACCTTGGAAGGGAGCTACGTTCTTTCGTGCGGAAAACGACAAATCAAGAGCACTGAATACAGGAGATCAAACCCTGAAATATCATTTCTCAAAACTACAACTGAAAAACTGTCGAAACCGCGATATTTTTCAGCATATTTTTAATCATTCATCATGCCGAAATATTCGCACGACAAAATCTCTTCTTTGAGTCTCCCGGCCCAAGAATTAGATTTCCAGCGGACGTTATATGCTGAATGGAACTATGTGCAAGTGGAAAGATGGGGTGTGCTCGTATTTGAGGGCAACAAGAATGAATGGGGATTTTAAAGCGCCAGTGACGTCAGCGGCGACGAAGCCGTTTTTATTGTCGTTCTTACTCGGCTTTAACTCATGAGCCCTGTCCACGACGCTCTTGTCACGTGTCCACGGCTCACGAGTTAGCGCTCACCATCAGTTCCTTTTGATTTAATGTAAAATTCCGCTTTTTCATTTTCTTAAAAGAAACACTCAAAAGAAATATGGTAGATTTCACCACACTCTGACACGGTGATACGAGTATGGTAATAGACACCAGGTTCTATGGTAGCATTTACCATATTATTTTGAGTAAAACCAGGGTTCTGATGAGTACTACTTTAATTCTGGTTATTTTCACTTAACAGTATCACTGTGTAAAAAATCAAGTAGACTTATGATAGATGTTACCATACTTTTTTTTCAGTGAACTATATCCACTTTTACATTGTTCCTCATCTAGCTCACCACGAGCACACCCCATCTTTCCACTTGGACCTAGTTTCTTTGAGCATAAACATGTCCTCCTGTTGATTCTCCGGGTGCAAAAGCTCACGGTTGCGCACTGAAAAGTGGAGAGGGTGGAGGCTTGGCGGCACGTGTGAAAACATCTCGGGGACACACGACGGGCTGTTGTTGTAGTGGGAGAGCGCACACTGACATCATTTCGAAAATTAGCGGCCGACAGGGAACAGGAGCAGGGAGCAGGGGGCAGGGGGTCAGTCCCGGCTAGTCAGAGGTATGCAATCGAGGTACTCACGTCGAGGTGGTTGTTGCGCTACGGCGGCGTAGCAAGACCTCCGAGCATAGAAATTAATAAACAAAGCTATAGTCCGAGAATAAATGGACGTATTTATGCTAAATGGAACTATGTCGCACGCAAACTCTATGCACTTAGTTCCTTTTAGCATAAATACATCCAAATAAAGCTATCCTACCAAGGGAAGCGAATGATTGCAATCAACAAAGGAGTTAAGTACTAGAGTCCCTGTATACTGACGGTAAAGATGAGAGTATGCGAATCCATTTCTGATTGGTTCCCACATTTTAGGCCTTCACAGTGTCACAAACGGGAATGAAGATTATATTTTCACCAATAGAGAACTTGCAGGTGTCTGAAATTTGCTGAATGTCGTGTTTAAGTGGAAACTACTGAGTGTACTGAGCACGAGGATACCCTTGGTTTATGAATTGAACAATAATTATTGGAGAAGATATGACAAAATAAGCTAATCTGCTAAAATACGTGTGTTAAAATGGGAAATGCCGCCAGATGACGTCACTAGGCGATGCATTTTCTCACTTTTCAATCTATTTTTATACTATTTCCCATATCAAAAAAAATTGTAAAAATTGAAATCAAACCTTTAAGCACTTTCAGATAAAGCGATAAAAAATTTGCATGCGAATTCTCCATTGCAAAGATTGTAAACTGGAATGAACCGAGACGACAAGGATCAAATGGAATGAGAGAGAGGACGGAGATAGGAATTCGGGAATGGGTTAATCTGAGATTACAAAAAACTGCTGATTTGTGTAATCTTTACTCCCGTTTGTGACATCCGTAAGTTTCAACTCTCTCTATAAAAGGACTCGACTAAATACCTACTAGACCTGAGAAAACCCACGTGAGACCCTATATTAATAGTTCATCATTTTCCCCTTAGTCCATCAACCACCCGTTTCAACCAATGAAATCGCTCCATTTTCCCTTTGACTTCTTTGTCTATACTTTTGTCTAGAAATTTTAATATTCAGCCCGCTGTCAGGACGAGAGATCGTTTCATAAAAATGCATCTCGAAGAGCGAGGAACGGATGCCTATCTTCGGAGACTTTAACGCATGGAAAAGAAAGTACATCATAATGATTTGACCAACATATCTCTTGAAAATATCTTGACGACCGGCCGCTGATTTTAGTTGCGATTCTTGAATTACATAAATTAAAAATGCATCAAATTCCTTTGTCTATATTATTGTCTATCAATTTCAAAAAGCATCCCACTGTTTGGAATAGACAATAGAGGTTATTTCGTGAAAAGACCAAGAACACAATTCAAGCTTGCTTCCTTTTGAAATGGCAGCATCAGTCCAGTTAGCATGGATACCCTACGTGCGTAAATTTGGCTATTGTATTTATGCTAGCTTTCCGTATGCTACAAATGCAAAAATCGTTTCTTTTATGCATTACCTGTGCTTTTGAGTGCAGTTTGCATACTCAAGCCCCAAAAATATGAAATACTTCACACTGGAAAAAAAAAGCCGCTTAGATCTAGAGTCTAGACTCTTAACAACATTGAAAAGAAAAAGTACTCTTGATTCAATCCGATTTTTCTTTGAATCGAAGATCCGAGCCTCTTGATTTAGGCGAAATTCCTTTTGATTCAGGCAAAGAGTCCGATTGAATCAAGAGTTTTTTCTGTCAACGTTTTTAAGCGTCTGGACTCCAGATCCAAGCGACTTTTTTTTCCAGTGCACAACCAGTATAGGAAATGCCGTACACGAAAAATTCCAATCTTTCATATTTTTCCAATCGTAAGAGATG